ATATTTTTTAAAATGCTTTTAACATTTAAAAAAATTGTAAATAAAGTTAGAAAGTACTCATTGCAAAATGTCAAGCTGTACAGAGCATACCCTACAGCATCTCTTGCCTTGTCCATTCCTAATTACACAGCCCTAAAGAAGTATACATAGTAGTTTAGCATATACCCTTCCTGAGCCTTTCTAGATATCTATAAATAATTTAACAGATAGTCTATTACCATTGGGTTATTTGACTCATAGCACCTTTATGTATTATAGGCTAGAACTAACTGAAAGTGTTTTCTTGCCTGAGGTTTTTATGAAAGTTAGATGGGTCTTCTTTCCATGGTACAGGTGTGTAGATTCTAACCAGCAGACTTTTAGCTAGCAATTTGGACTATTTGGACTCTACTGGAACCATAAATTTAGCTAATTTATTTAGTTAAACTCTTGTTGTTTGTTGTGTGCCTTTGAGTCAAAACCAATCCATCGCCAATTCTCCAGTGGGTTTTCAGAGGCAATTTGATCACATGGGAAGAGACTGCCCATCTTTCTCCTGTGAAGTAGCTGGTAGACTCAAACTACAAGCTTCAGGATTATGGCGTGACTTCTTACCAGTAGGCTACCAGAGCTCCTTTATTTATTTATATATTTAAACTCTAGTAAGATTTAAAATTTGTGTTCAAATGGAATAAAAGTTTATTTTTTTCCTGTATTTTATTTCTTTTTATTGTAACACTGCTTGCAATTGAAAAAAAAATTAAAAATAGATAAGGAAAAGATTCTCAACATCATGACTATTATATATCATTTCTCTGGAAGTCCAAGGCAATAAAACTAGAAAAGAAAAAAAGGATATAAATATCTAAATGAAAGAGATAAACCCTTTATAATTATAGATTGTATCACCAATTATATGAAAATTTAAGCTCAACTGAGTTTTCATTGTTGTTGTTAGGTGCCATTAACTTGACTACCGCTTACAGCATTTTTATGAAAAACAGATCTTAATTTTGCCCTATCCTGGGCCATCTTCACCATTTCCAGTACACCTTAGTCCATTGTTACAGTCACTCTGTCAACATCTTGTTGAGGGTCATCCTCTCTTTCTCTGACCTAATACATTTCTTAGTATGATGTCTCTTCCAAGGTCTAGTTCTTCCTGACAATGTGCCCAAAGTATGTGAGGTGAAGTTTCACCATCCTTGCCTCTAAGGAGGGCCCTGGTTGCATTTTCTCCAAACAAGAATTTGTTGGTTCTTTTGGTAAATCCATGGGATCTTCAGTGCTCTTCCATTAGCACTAATACGAGATCTTCAAGCAGTTCAACCCAAAGTAAATATGTTGTTGTTGTTAAGTGCCGTCAAATCATAGATGACTCATAGTGACCCTATGAATGAAAGACCTGAACACTTGTATAACTTTCATCATTTCTCCACGTTCACAGAGTTTTCGGAGGCAAGCTATTTCAGAAGTCAATGCCACTCCTATTTCCAAGCTAATTTTAATCAGGGAGCTCCACCAAACACTGTCCACCGTGGGTAACCATTATCACATTTGACACATTAGTGTCACAGTGTTTAGCATCACAGAAACCACAAGTTACCTCTGTACTGCAAATGCACAGACCAGTGCTATACCACTTTGAAGAATGTTTGACCAAAAACAATTAAAACCAGACCTGAGGGCTGTAGTTTAAAATCACCCACCTTTGGCTTGGTAGCATGACTTTCTATCCACTAGGCCAACAGAGTTCTCTCTACGGCTCACAGCTATTTTATGAACAATAAATATAACCCTTGCCCTATCCTATGCCATCCCCACAATCCGAGACATGCCCAAGCCCATTGCTGTATCCTCTCCAAGACATATTTATTTGTTCTTTTGGCAGTCCATGGATGCTCAGTACTCTTCTCCAACACACAGCTCAAAGGCATCAGTTCTTTTTCTGTCATCCTTATTCTTGTCCAGTTCTCAGATGCATTCTCAAATGCAAGTATTTGGAAAGACCACAGCCTGAATCAGACGCACCTTAGTCCTCAAACTGACATTATTACTCCTCCATAATTTGAGAGGTTCCTAACAGCAGATTTTCCCAGTAAAACACATCTCCTTATTTCCTGACTGCTGGTACCAATGGTGTTAATTGTGGATCCAAGCAAGGAAGCTGTTGATAGTTTCAATCTCCTCTCCACCTATCATGACATTGCCTAGAAACATAATGAACCGATTAGAGAGAAAATAATAAACTGTTTGATATTTGCTTAATTGTAGTCAAGTGGAGATTTTAAGAGTCAGTTGTCTAGTGCCATTGTAACAGATCTATTTCACCATTTAGGAGTTATATTTTCTTTACTTTGGTATACATAATTTCCATAATAAAAGGTGAAAAAACCCAGTCCAATTTAGGGGAAAGATGTGGCAGTCTGCTTCTGTAAAGGCTTGGAAATCCTATGCAGCAAATCCTATGCAGCAATTCCTTCTGTCCTGTAGGTCACTCAGGAATCAGAATAAACACAATAGCAATAGGTTGTTTATTTTTTTCTTAGACGAGTAAATACTACGAGATATAAAAATGAGTGAAGCATTTTTTAATGTGTCAAATTATAGTATTGTTCATTCAGAAAAGGTACAGACCAATATAAAGGCATGATCTTACATTTCTGTGAAAACATGTATGTATTAATGTATATGGATGTGCACTGGGCAATACCAGTAAATTTACATATTAAAGTTCTAGAAAATGGAACTGGAGAAGCATAGGGATGTTTTACTTTTTAAATGAAATAACTAGTTGTTGTTGTTGTTAAGTTCTATTGAGTTACCGTGACTCATAGTGACCATATGTATAGTAACTCTGACCCCTGGCCTATGCTAAGCCAAAATCACTGTCTACAACACACCATTACCCTAGTCATCGTGTCAATCCATCTCTCAACCCTTCCAGGCATGATGCCATTCTCCAAGGACTGGTCCCTACTGGCAACATACCCAAAGCAGTGCCAAGAGAGCAAACAGGTCTGTCCTGGAGAGGGTAAAACCAAGCTGTTCCTTGGAGATAAGGATTTCCTTATCCACAGTAAAACTGAATTATCTGATTGCAATAATTATCTTATCTCAGTTCTTGGGTAAGTTACTTGTATCACTATACATTTTCTGATCTTCATTTTCATCTCTTTTTTACCTTTTATTATTTGTGTGCATTTCATTGCAGGCCTCTTTAGCATAAGCTCAAAGAAATAAATATATAAACTGAGGTAATCTATCTCTTGGCTTAAACCAAAAGAGGAAGCTGAGAAGAAGCAATCAGTGTGAGGAGAACAGCTGTGGCTGGAGTGGTGCTCAGTCCATCTGCTCAAAAGCAAGATGAGGACCACCAGCAAGAGGAAGAACAGAGGTGAGGCTAGTTACTCATAATACTGAGAAAGAGAACAAGTGGTTTTTAAATATATATCACATCTTTTCCCTTTCAAATCTACGAAAGAAGCGAGGTGATTTGCATATTGTCCTTCAGGTCAAGACTCTGGATGCTAGTGGTCTGGATGCTAGCAGTCAGAAGGTAAGGCTGAAATCAGGTAGACTTCCTGAAGTCGTAGGTGCTCAGGTCAGCTGTGGCCCATCCCATCTCATGCCACCTCGCCACCTCACCACCTCAGTTTGGCAGCTAGCAGCACTGACATAAAAACATTGTGGATAGTGCTTTGAGCCAGGGGATTTACCCAGCAGGTACATGATGTGTACAGTATGGAAATCTCCCCATTCTCACATCCTGCCTTATCACCATGCCCTCTCTACACTTGAAAGACTGTAAGTTGTTGCCCTCTTGCCTTGCTTTTCAAAATAATTGAGTTTAAATTTCTTCCCATGAGAAATATTTAGTTTACAGCCCAACTTTGCAAGTCTACATATACTACATATACACCATATACAGTGTTTTCTGTTTTCATTATTGAAAATAAAATATTTTTAACTATAGGCCAACAATAGGGTGCTCTGGTGGCTTAGTAAGTGAGAAGCTACACTGCCAACCTAAAGACAGGTGGTTCGAATCCAGCAGCTATTCCATGGCAGAAAGATGGGCACTCTCCTCTCGTGTGTGTATTGTTGTTAGGTGCCGCTGAGTTGAGTAGTAACTCCTAGCGGCCCTATGAACAGCCATTCTGAAACTTGCTCTATCCTGCACCATCCTCATCACCTCTGAGACACTAGAGCCCATTGCTGAAGTCACAGTGCCTATCCATCTTGTGAGGGGGTTTTCCTCTCCTTCA